TTGAACTCTGCATTAAATGTCACCAATGAGGAGTTTGAGCTCTAGATTCAAAAATGTAGACTGAACCCCTGGTCTGCACCAACTAGTAGGACAACTGTGGGCAAGGCATTCAGCCTTTCTGTGGCTCAGTTTCCTTGTCCATAAGAGGTTGTTTTTAATTTTTAATTTTGAAGAGTTGTTACAAGAATTAAATGAGATACCCCATAGAAAGAATTTAGCACAGGTCTGGCATTATGTTAACTGTTACTTTTATTCAGGCAGATTCCTTAGCATTTATTAAATGTTCTGATGTCTCAGGGTATATGATGAAGAGACACCTGTGTGGTCTAGGGAGACAGAATTTTCAAAGTTGGAATCACAGCAGCAACTGAGTTGAGATCCAAACCCATACCTCTACTTTTGGGCCCTCGGATGCCTCCTTATCTCTCTCCCCTCCTTCTCTATCTTTACTGAGGACCTGTTGTTAAGCATTGCTGGCCCCAGGGCATAAAGAGACAGGAGACATTGTTCAAAAGCACCCAGAGTAGTGTTGGGGATACAGACACAGAAATAATTAAAACAAACAATGGTTTGTCAGCCATGATGGAAGCAATGGGCAGATTCTGTGAGAGCCCAGAGGAAAAGCCTCTCACCTACTGTGGGCTGGGGGGCAGTGAGAGAGGGTGGGCCAAGGAGGGCTTCTTGTTAGCATAAGATGTTAAGTCTTGAAGGTTGAGTACCAAGGGAATCAGGTGAGAGTTAGGGAGTTCCAAACAGCAAGAATAACACCTTCAGAGGCCAAAAGGTGAGAGGGTAAATGGCCTATTCCAAGAACCACAAGTGGTTCAGTATGTCTGGAACACAGAACACATATAGGTAAGTTGCAGAAGATAGGTTGAAGAGAGAAGGAAGGACTAGAATGGTTAAATGCCTTTTATACCACAGTAAGGGGTTTGAATTTGCCTTGAATGATATCTCAGCGTGATCAGACTGGTGTGTTGGAAAGATCACTCTGACATCAGAATAGAAGTCTGATGGAGCCACATAAAACTAGAAGCAGGGACTTGGTTTTGGAAGCTCTGCAAAAAATGATGGGAAGTGAAGTAGAAGTAGCAATGGACATGGGGTCGGGCAACAGACTTCTAGAAATCTAAAAGAAAATTGAGACGAATTACTAACTGGTTGGATCTAAGTGATGGTGAGAGGAAGGTAATTAAGAGACACTCAGTTTTCTGTCTTGAACAAGTGGGTGGATCACGATGCCTTTAATTGAAATGAATCAGAAGGAGGATGTGGCTTGGGAGGGTGTGCGGTTGGAGGCGGTAGAGGGTAAGGGTAGAGTTCAGTTTTAGGTGTGTTGGGTCAAAGGGTAAATAAACAAAAGGTGAGGAAGTGAAGAACAGGTAGGTGGACTGCTCTTTCTCAAAATATACCTGTAGAGGGAAGGGCTAGTGAGGATGTATATATATGTTTCTGTAGGTTCAGGGGAGGACTTTTAAGGCTTTTATGCATGTGACCTCCATGTCTCTGAGCATCTGAAGGTGATGTGATTTTTCTGAAGGGTAGGAGGAAATGAATAAACATGATGAGGAGAGTGGTAAAGTTTAGAATAGTCATTATAAGTGAGAAGCTGACTGTGGACACAAAGGAGCATGGTTAGAGACTATAAATATGCAGGGGCACCAACTTTCTCCCCTGTAAGATCCCCTCCAGTTGTCCCTGGGCACCGGGGGTCAGCTAGGCTTTGTGGGAGAGGGCTACTCACTTCTCAAAATCCCAGGATATTCAAGCATGCGGGAATGCCAATAGAGGGTTACAAAATAGGGTATGTTTAAAATGTTTACACTTGGCAAATTAATACTTTTAATGCACAGTGATTACAATGCAATATGTGCTGTTCACCATATAATTACATAATTTACTTAAAATATTAATTGGTGATGCTTTACAAATATGTGTCATTTGGTAATAAGACAACGTATAAAGTTGTACAAGGAATGCCTTCTTGTAATCATGTAGATATATTTCTCCGGTGATAGTATGACTTCACTTGGATAAAATAGCAAAAGCTTTGATTGAAACCTTTAATAAATGTGGGGGTCCTCATAAGCCTTAGGTATTGGAATGGAAAAGACATATGATAGAATTAATCCAATTTAACAGATTCATTGCATTGAAATACATGGGCAATGGAAGTCAGGCCATAGGTGATTAGGGGAGGTTGAAGCAATGAGTTATGATTTCTAAATGGAATTGGAAAAAAATAAAAACAGGAGGGAGTGATGCACTGGTGGAAAAGATATAGGTTAATCATGGATGAGGTGTGAGTAATGAAACCAGAGAACCTGATGGCTAGTAAGAGAATAGTATAACATAGTTTGATTTCACAGCTGGAGAATTTCTGGATGACAGGGTGGGAACATAGGAGCAGGTGGCTTAAGTGGAGTGGTGATTAGGATCTGTCCTCACAGAGAGGGCAGGTAAGACCAGCATTTAGAGATAGTGATCTACATGGACATTGAAAATCCAGGGTCTTTGTATGAAGAAAACAACTCCCTATCTCAAGGTGATTTAATCGATAATTGCCCCAAAAGTGGGGCTGGAGAGGGGACAAAGGGTTGAATACATGTCCTCTTTACCTTTTACTAACCTGTGACTGAAATTTTACAGATGAGGGATAGTAAATTACAAAATCTTGGTTGGTGTTACAGAAGTGTGTATAGGTCATAAAATTATTCCAAACAGTTTTCAACCCACTTATCAAAGCAATTTTGTTCTCAGTGTAATGGCAGGTGAAACAATATATTGAACAAAGCAACCACTGCTGTACCTTAAGCCCTTTAATTACAGTGCTCATAGTAGTAAATGCTTTAGTTAAGGAACAGCTTTCATTACAACCCCAGGTCTCCAATCAGTTTGGTTCTTTAAAAGATTTTTTTCAGTTAAAGTTTTTAATGCATGGTTTCTGCACAAAGGCTTTGTGTAGACTGATTATTGGATATGAGAGGAAGGGACTGCCGAGAGGGGGACTGCTGCAAAGGAAAGTCCATGTCACTACTTGTGAAGTGATCTATGACCAAGGGACAATGATAGCTGACATTTATGCAGAACTCACCACAAGCCAAAAGCTGGGCTAAGTACTTAATGTCCATTGATTCATTTAATGAACCAACATTATGAAGTAGGTGTTATTACCCTTGACCACAACATTAAAGAAATTAAAGAACAGGAAATAAGTAACCTCTCCAGTGTCTCACAGCTAGTAAATGGTATCAGAACTAAAATCTCTTAACTCCAGAACCTGTAAGTTTGCGGTTAAATGAACTTCACATTTGGGGCTGGGGGTGGGGATAAATCTAAGAAGGAGTCCTGGGTCTCACTGACAAAGATCCTTTTCTAAACACTAAATTGGGATCCAGGGCAATTGGTTAGAATCTTGAGTGTCTGGGGCCTCTTCCCCTCTCCCCACCCTACCACACCAAGCAGTACAGATCGCTGCTCAGAACTTTTCTGGACTTGTCCTGGCTGGAGGAAAAGATTATCTTTTTGCTCAGTGAACCTTTACTTGTAATACTTTTTATACATCTGCTTCACTACATTGCAGGCAAAAATCATTTAAAGAAGCTAAATTTCTTTAGAAGGGGCTAGATTTAGAATGAGTGGTTTCACAACCCTGTGCCTATACTAAAAACATTGAATTGCTTAAGTGGATGAATTGTATATGAATTATATCTGAATAAACCTGCTTTAAAAGAATCAGAATGTATGAATTAAAAGAGAAATTTTCATTGCTTCTGAGTGATTTCAGACTTCTTGCACATGTGACATTGCCACAAAAGAATGAGGAACGTGAGGCGAGCTTCTCAACCATTCATTTTACTTGGCGGACCTTCAGGGAGTCCACTCTGCGCCAGCCACGGGGGTTAACAGAGAAGTAGGATCCCCCTGCACGAAGAGCAGGTACACAGAGGAATGTCTGTAACCGTAGCTGGCCCTTGATTTTTTTGTGCTGAGGTTTTCATGCCTATGTTGCAAGATGAGTGCTTGAAAAAGTTTTCACTTTAAAAAATGGCAAACTTTTGTTTTGTTAATAAATTACATTGAGTCACAGATGTAACTTCAAATTACAGTAATCGTTTATCCCTTTCAAGTGGGTTTTTACATATTAAGAAGCGAAAAAAAATCAAGTTAATGTAAAAAAAAAAAAAA